GGCGGCCGCAGCCCCTCTCGGTGGGGCCCCCATCGATCCCTCGCAGCCATTATCGGTGGGTCGAGCTTTGCCCGAGCCGAGGCGGCGGCACCTCCTCCCGCTGCTCAGACATCGGGGAAGGGGGGGGCCGGGGAGGGAGGGCGGGGAGCGCGGCCTGTCATCAATCACCCGCAAAACGCCAGTGGGAAAAGGCAAAAGCAGATAAAACAAAGGGGGTAATTCCGCTTCCAGTCCCTTAATGCGTGCCACCGTCCCGGGTGACCCGTTCTGTGGCATCCTTAAAGTTTCGTAGGAAAACCGAGCGATGAAAGCGATTGTGTGCAAGGGTGAGAGTTGCCTTTAGGGCAGATAAAATGGAACCGGGCCGTCTCCTCGTCTCGGAGGCGTCGGGCGAGAACGAAACCCTTTTATATCCTTGACGTGTGAGAGATGGGTCAACCGGTGGCCCTAAAAGCTTCAGGTCTGCTTGTGTAATTGTTGTCAATTAAAAATCAACCGAGTTCCTTCTACCGGCGAGTAGGGAGAGAAGAAAGGATTGAATCTTGGCTGGGGACGCAGGGTTGATTCGCCCTCGCTACGGTTAGTCTAGTGGGTAGCTTCCAGTAATGCACTTAACGGTTAAGCTCGCAGCCATGAGTGGCTGTAGCGCTGAGGTATGGATCTGTGTCCTTTGTGTGCAGGGAAAAAGCCCTCTGCAGTTGTTGCAGCCGAATTCCTTCTGCTGTTGCGTTCGGTACTCCCTTTTATACAAAAGTTGGCCCCGGGTTACTGCTGGTATTGCCGAGCAGTAAGTTTGAATGTGTTTTCAAATTGCCATCTCCTCCATGTAGGACAATGCCTTGTTTTGGTATTTTTGGTTCCGAAAACTGTACAGCAGAATACGTTTTTTTACAGGTTTTAGTCAAATAATAAAAAACTGCTATGGAGAAAATATATAGAGGGCATACAAAGTACTTAAACTTGGCATCAGTGCCTTGGTATTTTTTTTGAACCTCTAGGAAAGATCTTGAATGAGTCAGCGGTCTGGGATGAGAGTAGTGATGGATGGCACTCCCTGGTACAGTGAGGCATTACATATGCTTTGAGAGAGATGTTTAAAATCAGAATTCATTTGATTCTTTTTAGGAGATAAGTGTTGCTTCATTGCAAGGATTTCTTTTGGCTTGTTTCTTTGGGATTTGGAGAGCTTAGGTTATGAGTATTTAATATAAATATTGTCTGGCCAGTAAATGTGTATTGCTGAAAGGAGAGAAATCAACAAAATTTTCAGCAGAGATAACCTACAGCAGTATTTGAGGTAATACCTAAACTCCTATCTTAATGATTCTGAAGGTCTTAAAAACTGAAATGTTACTGGAATTGAGGAAATACAGGCATCATCTTCCCTTGAGAAAATCAGAGGTGCAGGTGGTAACCCATGTGAAAAGGTGATTCTGTACTGACAAAGGTGCTTTGTAGTACAAAAAGTGAAAAGTGAAGGACACTACATCAAAATGTCTCTTACAGCACTTGAATGCTCCTGAGCAAAACTTGAAGCATTTATAAATTGTGCACGTTTACACGAGTTTTGCTTAAAAGCTCACTCTGTGGTTTCTTTTACAAGCAAAAAATCTTTATACGGTGCTAGTGCAAACGCGACTGTTAAGCAGCTTGCTTAGTTTTTACTTTCAGTTGAATTTAGGGGTATTATGACATTGTGTATATTTCATTTCGACCATCAGGGAGCAAAATAGAGCTTATCATTTTAAAGGGGCCACTTGAAAAATTGTGTGGGATTCATCTCATCTAATTTTGTAAATGTACGTCTGACCTAATAATTTGTGGGTTTCTTGATAGTCGGTTGGAAGAAACAGATGGTTTATTCTAGAGCTCTGACTTAGGATGAGGCAAAGTGTGCTGTAGAAATATGGATTGCTTTCCAGTGACTGTAAAATGAATTTACATGACTATTTCTGATGTAGATGTTTGCATTTGGGTCAGATAAATCTTGCTCTGTGTGCGAAAAGAATTCCAGTCTGATTTTAAAAGTGTTCCCAACTGAGTCACTATTCTGTTCCGTTTTTATATTGAGAAATTTAGTAACAATAGCCAGAATTCAGTTGACTTCACTTATGGTTTTCTCAGCATGTTACTGTAATGCTTAGGTTTCCGGCACTTAAAAAGTTTCTGTCTGAATTTTGTTTAATGAAAATTAATGGTCATATGAAATCAGAGCTCTGGATATAAAACTTGATGCTGATACTTTATTTTTCTTCTGATACTCCATCCTGGTAGTGCTTAACTTCACCCAGTGGAGACTATATCAGCACCAGAACTTCTTAGTGGTTAATCATTTAAAAAATTAATTATCTGGAAGCAGAATATGGATTGATTGAGGCGGGTGCTGAGAACTAAGAATACAGTGTGGTAATCAGATTAGAAAACAGCTGTCTTTGTAGAGTGGTCATATACAAATAAATGATATGTCCGTCTGAGAGAGGGTAGGCTTATTCAAGATGAAATTTATCTCTCACAAGAGTGTTTTAATATTTTGTGGTTATTTGAACAGCTGTTAGGTCACTTCCAGTTTCTCAATGAATTTGGCAGCCAAACTGTAGTTGTGGCTTTACCATCTATATTTTCTGTGGAATTGTGCTTACTGGCTTGAGCATGCTCCGAGTATGTTTGCTAATTTTTGTATACCACTGTTTGCATCTAGAATTATGTTTTCAAAACTGTGTCCACTATAACCTGTGCAGAACATATCTGCCTGGCATAAGACGGGTTCAATTTTGAAAGAGTGGCTCCTCTAAGATTAGTTTTCTACTGCTTGAATACTACAGATGAGTTTTACTTTCATGTAAGTTATAGCTATAAATGAGACTGTTCTGTATGATAAGAATAACTGCACTTGGGTCTGGATGCCTGTACATAATGCATTGTACGTGTTCAGTTTCCTCTGAAGCCCTAAGGGTGCTGTCCTGTTCCAAAGCTGTTAAGTGAATTCTGGAGGGTGAAAGGAGGAAGCAGCGGAAGTATTTTTTCTGTTCTCTGCTGGATGTCTTAGAACTGTTATTTGCAGTTTTACCCTGATGAAATATTATATTCTGGGCAAAACTATGAATAAACTAGTTGTTTGTTAAATTCAAAGGCAGATCAGTGTTAGAAAGCCTGCATGTCTGGATATTTCTACAGTGGGAAATACAGTCCAAAGAAATGGAGGAGGGGTGGAGGAAGGAGAGAAAGCATTGACCCTAGGGATTGAAATCTAATTCATGGTACGTAGTAACCGAGAAGACAAACTTCCATACTCCTCATCCAAAATCAGAAGTTAACTTGCACCTAGAATTTTGTAGAATCAAAAAGAATGTTGTATTTTAAAAGTTTGCGAAATTGCTTAAAAATCCACAAACTTTTGCATCTGCACATGCAGTTTTTCCTCCATCTGAAACATTCATCTGCCTCAACACTTCATGAGCAACTAACGTTTTCAAACCAAAAATCGTAGTGGGTGGGGTTACTGAGAAAGTCCTTCAACTCGGGTCACTGGTTGCAACCCAAGCAGAGATAATGTCAAAAGTTTGATGGAATATGGAAACTCTTGAATTTATGCAGTATTTAATGATGAGTATGCATAATTGGTATTTGCTGCTCTAATGGCAAGTGTATGGCAAACATCTCTAGTTAAAGATGGCAACTAGAGTTGGTTGTGAGAGTCACTCTCTCATGAAGGACTTTTTACGAACAGAAGGTAGACAAATTTGTCTTTAATGTGTACCTTTTTCTGTCACAGAATAATCTAGGAATAAAAATTGGTTCTAATTAACACAAATTTTCAAAATTAATGCAAGAAAATGACTTTGACCTTTTTGAATAGGAAGAACTGTTAGTCTTCCCTATAGGCTGTCCTCCTGTGACCTTTCAGTTGCCCTCTTGAGCAAGCTTAACTACTTCTGTCTGATAACGTGGTCAGACAGTGGCCAGTACAGGTTTGGCTTTTAAATGAACAGATCTACTGGCTTTGGAATGTGACATATTAGTAGTGCTGCATCTCTTTCTGCTTAATTTCTGTTTTGTTAACATTTATCCACATGTGTATTTATGGCTAAATTATCTTGGCAAGATGCCAAGTTTCTCATTGTGCTCCAGTATTGCAGAAATCATTAGGATTTTAAAAAACAAAACATTCCCACCCCTTAAAAAAAAACAACACAAAAAAACCCCAGCACATAATGGCTGCATCTGGACTTGATAATTTAATTTATATGAGAAATTTCTGTATAGATGCCTGTGGTGACTATAAATGTTAAATACCCTTGGTTGCAGATGTCATAAAATGTTGAAGCAGTTTTTTGTTTCAGTGGCAAGTCTAATAAATGCAATGTGACA